TCCTTATCGATATATGCAAATACCCAAATAACCACAACATATCGGGAAAATATCAAGAGAAGATCAGAAGTTATACCAATCTCGCTATGAAGTCGCAACTCAGTGGAACTTCAGTAAAGTGAAGGAACTGTGCCTATAATAATATCAGGACAGCGGGAGTGATCCCGAAAATGACAACTTCGGGCACTGGAGGTGTCTTCACTTGGATACCAGGAATGTATATAATATGCAAAAGACAGTAATTTTGAATACATGGCGTATTTGTCAGAAGCCATCTGAACCTTTCAGTAAAGCAACCACACACCTGGTCATATACTGTGGTGTGGTTGACATACCTGACCAGTTAGATACTGTGAATAATGTAAGACAATAATAATAATAATAATAATATAATAATAAAATAATAATTAATAATAATAAAATATAATAATAATAACAATAGCGATATGGATGTGAAAGCGATTGGGTGCGTGTGATCCCAGAGGGCCATTGTATTGTGTATCTGCCTTGTTTCTTTGAGGACCACAAGTCCCCGGGGTGGATTCCTAGGCGCGAGCCTCTATCCGCCCCCCCTGCCGCCGCAAAAGTACGGCGGCCGGCTAATATCCGGATCCGGCCGGAACCCTCTCGGCAACCTCCCCATTCAATGCCTGACTCCGACCGTCCTGCTCGCTCAGAGCTCCTAGCTATCCAGGACAGCACGAGTCGATGGTTTCGTATGACAACGCGCCACTCACATGCGTCGGTACATCGTGCCCCTCCTCTTTGCCCAGAGTATTGGGCCATTGCCACGACGAAGCCAAGAGCCCAACCGGGGGTACCGGAACTAGCGTTCGAGCGGCTCCGAGACCCCGACCCGTCTACTCATTGCCAGACCCCGCGTATTGACGTGAGTTCGCCGGGACCAGGGCAACCTGACGGGAGGTATCAATTTCCCGACGGACTTCTATATGTGAACCCCAGAGCCCCCAGGGGCCCCCTTCACCCGATCCTGCCCTAAAGTCTGCGCGCCAGGGACCCAACTGGTGAGTTACCGGGTTGAACCGCCAACCAGGAACCTACTCACTGCATCCACCTTGAGACTAACGACGTGAGTGTCGCAGGGAGATCGTCTCCAACTGTTCATCGGAGACTGTGACCGCCTACACAGACACGACCCCCCCCCCTGCGGGGCTCTAGAGAGCGCAGTCTGACGACCTACGCGCGCTGTTGCAGGAGGAGCGGGCCAATGGCGCGCAGGCGGCGGAGGCGCAGTCGCTGCTGGGGGCCGGCGGCGCCGCGGTGAAGGTGCTGCCTGCGGGCGACGCGCGCCCCTCGAGGTATCTCCACCCGGCGCACGTCGTCTTTATCTTGCCTTTTACTTAGTCTCTCGTCTACTGCGCCGTCGCGTAGTGAACATGATGTTTTTGTATTGCTGCGACGGAGTGGGTCCCTGTTCCTTCTTCGCACATGTAGTACAGTACTTCCTCTAACATGTTATATAGTCAAAAAACAAATTTTGTGAGTCCTTGATACCGAAAAAATATTTTACGGCCAAACGTCTGTCCATGGTCAACGCTAACGCCTAAACAATTCAGAATATTTTCTCCAAAACTGACTTTCTCTCATTGATCTGATCGAATGCGAGGCCCTGGGAATTTGAAGCAGATATTTTGATTTTGGAGGGTATCTTACTTGAAGCTCCACGTTTTTGGATAACATTTTTATCAGACAGAGCAAGCTACGAGAATAAAACTAACGCAAGTCAAATTTTCGTTGAATTCTGCAAACGTTCGTAAATTGCAAAAGTCAAAATTAGGCGTCTAGTTTTTTAGGCGTCTTCCTACAACTATAATTTGAAGATAGAGATTTTTCTTCTGAATTAAATATACATTTAAAATGTACATCTTTAAATGATGTCATGTGCACTTTTTCAAAATATATTTTGCGCAACTTTGCATAAAATAAAGGCAATTTAAAAGCAAGAATTACTCAAAAACAACTCCGAATTTTTTCTGTCACCTTTTTGTACGTAGAGAGCTAAATGCACTGAATAACATGACATCAACGCCATTTTGATGGATTCTTTTGTATTTTCAAAATGTACACAAATGGATTTTTTATATCTTTCCCCCGTCATTAATGTTTACATTAAAGATGTTTTTATACATTTTGCATACGAGGGTTTGAATGCTTCAAATGATATAATGGGAAATTTCTCAATAATTCAAACATTTTTCGTGATAATGAGTTCAAAATTGCGCATTTCCAGAAACACCGAAACTACTTTTTCCCAAAAACGGAACCAAATTTTTCAATTACAATTAGCAAATAAGATAATATTTTTCTCCTCGATAAAATTCTTTAAGTCATATTTGAGTTTCGCAATTAGGGATACAAAATTGAGATAATGTGAATAATGATTTTTTGGCGACAAGGTAGCATCTCGGGAAGGGAGGGGGCAATACTGAAAAGCTAGCCTAATCAGAATAGATTAGAAAACTAACTAGTGCGAGAAAGCTTGTGTCATTCTGTCACACAACGCGTTTGAAAATATGAGAACGTTTTGCGTAATTTTGAGTTTAGTGATGAAAAAGTTAAATGTTGTTCGAACCAATCTTACGCCCTTAAGTTTGATGCTAGAGATTTCTTTCTCAGTGCAATCAATTTTTCAGTGGATGTTTATATAATTTAATACACATTTTTTCAAAAAGTTAGTCTTTATCGGTATATTTGAGAGAAGGTTCTTACGTGGTAAAACGAATAAATCATGTGGCATTGGATAATGGCTTGGAGAATAAATGAGCAGTTTTAAGGGTGAGTGTTAAAATGAGTAGTTTTGAATAATATTACAATTTTATATTTAATAACTATTAAATATAATTTTCCATGCATTTGCGTTACGTTGCCACCGCTATTAGGGTTGCTGTGTTGCACAAAGAATACGCCGAACGAGTCCATTGCCCGTTGTTGCTTTGAAAACGTCGCGCTGTCAACAGGCAATGAAAGTCAACTCCGCTGGAGTGTATTATTATTAACTACTGACTTCTATACCCACACGAAAAATTCCGAGTGGGTAATGTACCCACTCAGTATTTGGGGTGATAGAAATATTCCAAAAACGACAAATTCCAAAAATTAATGTTTCTCGGTCTTGCGTCGACTCAAAACCTGGACGCGATCAACTATGTTGCAAAAACGGCTCAACAGTATTGTGATTTTACATGTTTATAGTGCCATGACCGACAAATTGATTTGCAAAAAATTTTAAATGTGTTTATGTAACAAATGTAAAGCGTAGAGCTGTTTTTGCATTGCAAAAATGAACGGTTGAAGTTACATAAAATAAATGTGATGACAAATGTGTTAACAATTTGGTATCAATTTAATGATAAACATGACAATTTGAAAAAATTCTGTTTTGTATTTTCCCTTCATACACATTTTCGGTGGGAGATGAAAGGTGAGAGGGAAGGAAGGGGGGTCAACTACCCACTCCAACTTAACACCAATCGCTGACCCTGACTACTAAATTTATTTTTACGGCCAATATACGCATCGATATCGGTGATGCATTCATGCATGTGAGTTCACAGTATTCATTAATAGACTTATTTCATTGGCAGAAAGATATTTTCATTTAAAATTTGTAATTTAAAAAAATATATGATTTTTTGAGCTCTGTTTCTTTAGACGCTTTTCGAGTGAAACCAGAAGTGTAAGACAGAAATTATCACATTATAACATTTAATAACAGTTACCAATATTACGAGAAAGTGTGAGTTGTTAGTGCTAAAAGTATAAATGTAGCCCCACCAGTTCATAACATTTATTTAGGCAGGCATCAGTAAATGTAAGTCTTTCTGTATGCTGTCTAGTCAAATTAATTAGTCATTATGGAGTCGCTAATATGGCTACGCGATCTGCAAATAGATCAATTTCATAATATGTTAATTTCAAGGGAAACGTTAATCTCAAATAATGAATATAAAATAACTTAAAATGTGTTTGTGAGTTGGCCCTTGCCAAGACGCGTGATGTGCACACGTCCGTTGGCTTACATCATATTGAAACAATGATCAGGGTATGAAATAGGCCAGCTGTTGGCCTTCAGTCCACCTTCATGCGAAAATAAGGGCAATCCCACCCAGAACTGTTGTTTTTTGCCAATTATTTTATTTTATTGACATAGATTAGTTACACAGAACTCTACATATGTGTAGGTGGTTAACAATTACAACTAAACATAGACCTTCACTAGTTCACTAAAGGTTGAGGAAACCATGATGGCACCTCAAAGGTTCTCTTCTAGGTCTGGAAATATTTTATATAAAATGTGAAATGGATATTTGTTTGTGATGCGAGTAGGATGAGTGGGGTTTTAACAAAGATTAAATGAACATAAATTGGGACAGATAGGTAATGTGGTAAATGATGGGATCGAGGTTAAATTCATTATGTAAGTGGTGATTAGAAATGTACTGGGTTGCATTAGTGATGGTGCGCATAAATTGGTTTTGAACTATTGGGGTTTTGTTGAGGTTCGTTTTTGAAGCGTTAATACATATTAGGCAGGTGAAGTGAAGTATTAGGAAGGTGTAGTGAAGTGCCGATCTCATTATTGTTTTGTTATATATTATTGCTGTGTTCTATGACAGATATTGATTGGTCTTTTTAATTGATGCAATTTGTTTTAGTTTGTATTCTTTTGGGGTCTGTGTCTTCCAATTAATTTTGGTGTCCATCTGCATAGAAGTGCTGTGGCACTCCGTTGGCCCAACTCCACGTGAAAAATCCGGTCCGAAACGGAATCTCGGTCTAAAATGATTGCGTTCTCTGGAAAAAACAAAATTTATATTTTTTAATAGTGTCTTTTTAAACTCGCTTTTTCTATCTCATAAATTATATTTTTTTACTTATACCACTTTTCTACCAACAAAGCTACATACTTAACTGTCCGTATTTCATAGCCTGATCATTGTTTCAATATGATGTGAGTTCCAATTCTTGACTGACAACGAATGAATGCGGCCACGGCGGAAATGGCGGAGCACAGAAAAAAAGCCGGACGTCCTGGCGTCAGGAAATGGTTCCACGAAGCGTCGAAAGTGCGAGTCGTTCGCCGCGGCATTCGCCCGAGCGAAGTGCGCCGGTGCCGTCGTACGCTTCCCGCAGAGTTGGAGGTCGCCGGCGGATCATGCTGCGTGGGGCTGCGCTGGGCAGCTCTGCCCTCCTCCGAGCGAACTGTGGCCCTCACGAGGTACATCGAAGCAGCGGAAACGCTTTTCTGGGTCGACGTTAATCCGGTATTGCCGTGCGAAAATATTTCCCGAAACTCGCCTTATTAATTCAGCAATTGTCAGCAAACGTTCATTTTATGTTTGTGTGTTACGCACTGCATAGGTCTGTAATGGATGTATGAATGAATATACGCATTATGCAATGCGAAATCTTGCATGTATGCTTATTAATTTATGTAATTAATATCTGTAATTTATCAGTTCAACTCGAGTGTCACTGTGTGGAAGGGTTGGATTGGGAAGGGAAGTAGTTGCCACAGTCATTCGTTGATAGGTTTATTACAAGAAGGTCTTTCATTACATTCCTTCAGTGATCCGCTTGTTAATCGCATTCTGTCACTCACTTTATTCGCGACCATTACGTTGATGCTTCCCAGGGACCGCTCTGCGGCGAAAGATGAATTCTTATACTGCTAGCTAAATAAGATATAGATCAAGTTAATACATTTTATAACCGGTTACAGTTTTATATAACCGGGGTACTTATTAAACTAACCTCTCGTATACACTAAATTTACAATCTACACTTAGTTCTAGGCCCATGGTCGCAAGGTCGGGACGCAGCTGGTAGGCTTTAGCTCACAAAGAGCTGTTCTGCTGAAGTACATACATACTTACTTCTACACTTATAACTACTACATACACATATGTTTACATAGGTTAATAGTTTTAAAACTTTAACAACAAAAACATCATCATCAATAATAATAATAATAATAATAATAATAATAATAATAATAATAATAATAATAATAATACCAGTTCGAGACCCGCCTCGGGCATGGTTGTGTTGTGTGTCTGTATATTAGTGTGTGTCTATTTCATCATCTTCATAATTTCATCCCATCCCCCAGAACTAACAACCCTGGGAGATAAAAATTGAATCAGTGTTCAATGCTGATTACTCCCTATAGAAAAAGTAACGTGCACCTACCCCGATTACCAAGTCTGAGCCCTGGTAGGTTACGTGAATCGTGTGGTCCCATGCTAGCCTATTCGCGAAACGTAATAATAATAATAATAATAATAATAATAATAATAATAATAATAAATTATTATACTCGTAATTTAAAAAATAAAAGTAATGACAAAACCAAAAATAAAACAAAAACAAAATTTAAAATATTAAAAATACACTAATACACAAAACATACGTACTAAATTTAAATTGTCTTCGAGCTTGTCTCTTGGTTTCCACTAACTAACGATCTGGTCTTTAAACGCTGCAGCTCAACTTACGCTGACTTTTGCTGAGCGTCACTAAATTTCGCCCACATTCGCACCCGTGGCTGGGTTTCTGCGCACACGCACTGATTTTAATTTTCGTTGTTCACCAGCACTACTCACCACTCGGAGGGCCACACGCACTGTTGTTCCATCGCAGGCATCTCTGCGGAGTGAGCTGGCAGTGAACGCGGTGGATGTTGCATTATCTCCCACTGCGCGTTAAGCAGGAGCTCCGAGTGACACCGTGCAATGTCGTAAAGGATGATGATTGTACTCGTACATGCAAGAAAATGCAATAATTTTCTTCTTAATTTGAAACAAAGATGGTTCTCAAAGAAGCTGCGGTAGTAGGCTGTCTGCCTATGAAGAATAGCAATATACAGGATTATCCCACGGTCATTGTAGGCCACAATTAATATATTTTTGACACTAGATTGTCCATATTGACTCTCCTTTGAAGTAAGTCTTTCACTCTCCCTCCAGGGGCGATTCAGTAATTCCTGTGTAACTTCGTAATGATCCCTATGTTGCACCTCAGTGAGTTGATCCGGAATGCAACGCGCTGCCCGTTGCAACAAAAGAAACCCGTTTTAGAGGAAACAGCTCCGAAACTGCGATCCGGTCCAACTATTCATTGCATAAAACTACTTAAACCGTATATCAAGGAAATATTAAATGCTGGGTAGAAAAACGAACAGTAGATATCTGTTGATTGATCTCAAGCAGATGTCTAGTAAGAATGGGAAGTGCGGTGTTAATTATGTTCAACAGCTGTTCCTCTCTACAATCCACATCGCCCCCGTCTGCTGTACGCTTGCACCGATAATCCCGATGAGATTTGTTGAATGATATAACATATATTGTAATAAATTGTGTTAGTTTTGAAATAAAGTTTAAAAGTTGCATCTGAAGCTGACTGCATAGTTACGTTTGCTGCCCCAGTCATTGTCGGCGACACATTATTTACATTGATAAGCCATGCAATTCACTCGTTGCATGAATCCACCATGAAAATTGTAAAACTCGCTGACCAAATAAATTAAAGAACTTGATTGGTAGATCACAGTGGTTGTAATCTGTGTCGACCCGGACAGTTTCGTATATAACAACCTTTTCATTCTACCAGAGTTTCTAAGTCTAGAAAGTCTCGTTTGATTGAAAAAATGTTTTCCTGATATTGTATTATTAGCACAACATTGTGGTTTTCAATATGAGCGCCACGCACATAATTTTTTCACGATCTATATATTAATAGGAAGCACAATTTTCCTGTACATTTCATGAGAACAATCGCCTGGATAGGTTCATATTGAAATGGTCTTTAACTGAAGAACACAGTATATATGCGAGCAGCAGTAGTCAGCCACAAATATTTTCCCTCTAAATATTAATAATTTATCCTAAAAATGCAATTCCCAAACGGCTGCTAGCGTCCGATCCGTTCAGTGCTGCGCTCTGTGACGAGCAGCGAAAGCTTCCTTTCTACCCGGGCAGGGTCGCGTGATAGCCTACGGATCTACGCACATGTAGTGTAAAAAGCACGGGGAGAGTCTTTGGAGGCTGAGGCCGGGCTGGAATGGACTTAGATTCGTGAATCGGCCGCGAGACCGACGGCGTAGGACAGAAGAGGTGGCTCAGTGCATCAACTGATGTCACTGCAGTGCCTGCTTGACCTGGACGTCCTTGTTCGAGTACCGACGGTCGCGGTGCCAGAATTTTCAATACTAGCTATATGGCTGGGTCGAGTTCTGTCGCTGACTGGAGGAGTATTCCAGCCGCCGGCTGCTTTGATCGGTAGTTTTCCACGGTTTCTCCAATCAACACCAGGCGAATGCCCCCTAACAAACGGACCACGGGCCACACGCGATCTTTCTTGCCTCTTTCTTGTTCTATCCTTACCTCTTACGTATACACATTTACACTCACATGCACTACCCTTCCACACATGCCGGGAGACCGGTCGGGCGCTTAGAGCTTGCCCTGGCTGGGGCAGTGCCCCGCTGGTGGGAGATACCTGGTTAGGGGAAACTCCGCTATCCCACGGTAGGTTGGTGCCGGATCTCGTCATCTAGCGGGGGAATATCACCGCCACCTTCTGAGGAGAAACATGCTCAGCACAAACGGAAATAATGACCACCAAGCAACCGACGGCGCAGGCGGTCACAGGGGCGGATTAAGAAAGGACCACTCTTTCGGATGTGATGAAATGTACATATTGTAATTATTTTGAATAAGTTGAGAAACTGCAATATATCGTTGTCTTGAAGGAGAACGTCCCCTGAGCTCCCCTGAATCCGCCACAGGGTAGTCACTCGTATTCTCCGCGAGAACAGAGATACACACTTATCAAGACATCCGGACACGGCCGTATTCTTTAGTCCGGATGATCGCTATGCGATCGAAACGATCATAAGCTTAATAAAATTATTGGTACCAGACAACATCCTTTATTTATCAAAATAATAGAAGGCATATACCTCACCAGCGATCTAATTAATGGTCCGGTAGGTTTTCGAGCTGAAACAAGTGCACAACAGTAAGTTAATTATAAGTGAACCACAGTAGCGTCTAAACTCTGCAATGGCTTTTCACCTAAATGAAATTCCCCAAATCGTCAAGGTGATTACGCAGCCCCTCAAATTTGACTCGAATATTTTCATATTTGGTCTTTTTTTACCTCACTTTTCTCTTATACGGTACACTAAAATTCTTTTCACCTAGGTTAGTTTCTTTAAAACTTATTAATTGTGAAAAATTAAAGAGATGTATTTTTGAGAGATATGTTAGGGGATACAAATAGTTCAACCACCCGGACCAAGAGATACCTGGTAGGGGAAAATGTTACGAATCGACGTAGGCGCCAGAGTCATAGGTCAGTGCTGAATCTCGGCATCCAGCGGGGGGAAAGCACCCCCACCTCCAACGATAAAAACATGCACTACACTTACGGAACTAATTATCTTAGCGTAGTCGCGTTCGGGAACACCAACCAATCGCGGGAGGCTCTGAACGCCCATAGATGGCAGCTGGAAATTGAATGGGGCATTCCGAAACGCAATCCCTGACACAAAAGAATAGGAAAGTAACTTTAAAAATGCCTAGTTTTCAAATGTTTCTAGCCCCTCCCTTTTATTGGTACTTTTATTCACTATTCAACCAATATGCACTTTGTGTCGTTTTGTAGTACCATTCGTTTTTTCAATATCGATATTCTTAAATAGGCGTGACTACAATAGTTACTGTCAAGTTTTGATAGTTTTAGATATTGAGCTTCGTCGAAGTTGGTACGTTTGCATTCCAGGGATATTTTTCATTGTTAAATACAGAAGTCTAAAGGATGTGAATTTTCTTCGAGATGCCTATAAATTATATTTTGTGGGTTTCCTAAAAGTATTGTGAGTATTTAGGCATTCTGATCCTTTCCAAAATCCTTTTATGTTTCTAGTAACTTTGTTCATTATAATCTGATATATTCCCTTCCTTAAGTTCGATATCGTCCATGAAAGCACATTTTATAAAATGGATCAATGGATTAAATTTAGAATCCGCTTAATTTTGAAAGAATCGCACAAACTTCGTCAAAACTTTCCTCACGGATCGCATCGGAAAAGTGAATACTTTTTGAAGGTTCAGAGATATCTCTCCGTGCCGTACGGTACCTATTGTTTTGCCTCCCATTAATGCCACGTCACGTTGAGTTTAGTTTCTGAAGCGTTCGCCGTGCTGCGTGGTG